ATTCTAAATCTTTCACATTTAGGGAAAAAAAACTTTTTCCCAATCCATTCTTAAAATAGTTATCACCAAACTATCTCAGAAGCCTGCCCATTTCCCTAAGTTAAATCTGTCACACCTATACAGATGTGGGACCTAGTCGGAGTATAAAAACATAATGGTCCAGTGAGGACTCTTTCCCATGTGACTTCTGGGGGGAAAATATCTCATGAAATATACATGGTAATGTTTAGTAAGCAGTGGATCTTTTCAGTTTTCAAGAACTTGTTAGTAAACATATTAAACAAATTTCATGGGTACTTGTAAATAGAATCCCCTGACACGTAAGGTGACCTTGTATCTGTAAGCATTTTAGATTTTTATTAGCAAGGTAAGTTCTAAGACTTTTAATAAGGAAAAGATAAGGTGTGTTGGTCTGAAAAAACTGTATGGGTATGAAATTTCTTAGCTGAACTGATCCTATTAACATGAAGTGATATACTTATAAATGTAATATGGTGGTTTATTAGTAACAGTACCTACAATTAATGGCAGATACAGGTAACAGGAAATACTTTAACAGGCTTCTTCTCCCCACCCCCACAAGCAGGGTGATTATATATTAATTTTTTTCTAAGTTTATATGAATTTTTGCAAAATTACAAAGATAAAAAAGTATAATGTTATCTAGAGGACTTTCCTCTTTCTCTCTCTCTCTTTTTTAAAGTTACATTTGTCTCTTAATCTTTTTCACTGACTACTGTTGACCTAAGTGTAGTGTGCCATCAAGAGCAGGGACTCCAGAGGTCCGATTCCTGGCTCAGCTCTGGACTCTGCTACTTGTCTGTCTGAACTTGGGCATCTCACTTCATCTCAATTTAAACCATTTCCTAGGGTTGTTATGAGGGTTAATTAGACAACTCACAAAACACAGTACTTGTCCCATAAATAACATTTGCTGAGAACTATGATTTTGTGGCTGTTTTTTTCTTAGTTTGACTTTACAAGGGCTTTGGGGCAACAGCTGCCTTTTCTTTTTAAGGTCTGAGAAAGCTTTTGTGTCTGTTAAGGAACTTACCAAGGGTTTGTTTCCAGTGATTTTTCAACAATAAGATTTTTTTCAAGACCTAGTTTTTCTTAAACCCTTAAGCTCAATGTATAAATTTATTTTATTCATAATTCCAACTTGCAAATGTTAGGAACACATTTTCTTTGATCAATGTTTAACTTCTACAAAAGATTACATCTTTTTAAACATTAAAATCCATATACAAACTTAGATAAGTCTACTTAATTTTTAAACTATATTTATATATGTAAGACATCTAACCTCCTTAATCACTGCAGAAGCAAAAGCAGGCCAACATACAATCTGGCTAGCAAAGCATTTCGAAGCCCTTCGACAGGGCTCGTGTCTATGCTCCATCTCCACTGCAGGATATGCACAGTGAGCCTCAGGTCAGGACTGCTGTAGAAGATGTGTCATGAGTTTCACACTTGTCCCTTTTCATATAGGGTTAAATATCTGCCATGGCCCCTTCCCTGTTTTTTTAAATCATGACCTCTGATATAAATTATTGAGCTCCTATATCTCCTATTCAGATCTAAGTTTGTACATAATTGAATACTACATCCTTCTTATGTAGTATTTGCATACTTGTCTTGCAGTTTTGTAGTTAATATCAAAACATAGTAAGGTAATTGAAATTTATTTACCTAATCCCCTGTTGTTGGCTATTAGCTTATGTCCAGTCTCATAAATAGCTGTATTGAAAGCATGCTTGTAAAAGTATTTTGTTTATGTCCTATTTCCTTTGGATAAATTCATAAAACAGAATAACTAGGTGCCATTACCCCAATATTAGTTACATAATGTAATCTACCTACTGCTGCAGACCTGCTGCTGCTCCCATTTTTACTGCCTGCTGAACTTCAGAATGATTTTACCAGATTACAAGAAAAATTCTATTGGGATTACTAAGAGAAAATGACTAAGGCTATATATTGAAATGGTGGTATCAAACTCTATATAGTATAATAGAGGTGACAGAAATAAAGAGGCAAAATGATGTATTTTATTGTAATTGACAAAGAGATTCTAATGTTCCTTAAGGGATGACAAGAGGAGCAAGAGTGGAAGACTTTTTGTTAGTGATGCTAGAACACATCACAAAGCTCACAGTGATAATGGCACAGAAAGAAGGTAGCTGTATAACTTTCTATTCTGACTATTGAATACTTTCTCCCCCACAAATCAAGAGGACAGAATTTTACCAAATGCCTTTTTTACTTCACTCAAGATGATCGTACCTCTTCTTTCTACATATGGGTAATGGGAAATCATTTCCTAATTTGAAATCTTCCTTGCATTTCTGGATAAGTCACACTTGGTTCAAAAAAATACTAACAGAATAGTATCGGTGTACTAAAAGTTTCAGAGTTTTGCACTCATCTTCAAAGGAAGATTAGTCTATAGAAATCTTTAACTTTAAAAATATTATCTAAGAACTTCTAGTACTTGCAGCATAAGAGGATTTGGAAAGCCTTCCATCTGCTTTGTGCTCTGGTATGGTACCCTAAACAAGTGATGTAATGGATTGCCATCCACTGAAAGGCATGATTGTGGCTGTTCTCACTCTCCAGATACTTACTGGTAAGAAAGGATTACCACATGCATGAGTATGTTGTAATCATCATCTTGATGACAAACACTGAGTCCCAAGATTGGTTGACACATGATGAATGTGCTTTGTATATTTAATCTTCTTAATGAAATCCCAGGGAAAATATCAATCCTGCCACTAATGACAATAAAGTGCCCTTACTCCCAGGAGCACAAAGCTCTTCACGATTAATTATTTCAGTCATCCTCACCATCGTCCCATGAGGTGAGTGGCAGAGTGCTTCTGCTTAAAAAAAAAATAACTAATTGGATTTTCTCCTGTTCTATATTCTATGTTCTAGAACTGGGAGGCTACCTTATAAAGACCATCTGTATGTCTGCTGGTGGACCTGGGTTTCAAAGTCATGAGCTGCTGTCACATATGAACAGGCTAGGAGCACATATGGAGTAGAAACATTGGAGGGAGTTTGGATGGTAGCTCATCAAGATGCCCTGAGCAGGTTGGCCTAGAGTAGCACAGAGGCAAAGCCTGAGCCAGGGCTCTGGTGCCTCTGTTGAAGTGCTAATAATCCATGGTGCTAAATGTTTCTTTTTGAAAATATCTCACTGAGGCACCTCTTCCCTGTACGTACTCTTCCTCCAACCTTGCACTAGAGTACTACAGAGAGTATCTGCCCATCCTGTCTTCCAGAGAGGGGCACTGGGCCCTTCTCATCCTTCTCTCATGTATTAGTTAGTGGCTGGTAGCTCTTCACAAGGACAAGAGAAAGGTGAGATGTCTGAGATTCTCACTTAATACCTCTTAGCCAGCCTCGACCCTCCAGTGACCCTGTTTCTCTCCAGCCAGCTTCCCTCAGGCTGTTGCTTCCCTAGAAATGGGCAGGGTCTCTGTGGACCCATCTTGTCCAGGGAGCAGGGATCCGACTGAAGCTACATCTGGTCTAGCGATTCCTCATCCTTCTTCCCTTTACAGCGTGCCACCCAGTCTTCTCCAACAGTGTCGTCCATTCAGTTCTGTCTTCAGTTGGACTATAAGCTCTTGGGGTGAATATTCTGGCCCCGTGTTTGGGTTCTTTTTAACCCCCTTTAATTGCTCCTGCATATCCCCCAGTGCTGGGGTGTTTAGATGCACAATAAACACTTGTGGTTAATCTGTTTTCCTCATAACTGTCAAGTAGTGCCTGTAGATACTGACTGCACCATTTTAACTTCTTTTCCTTTTTCTTTTATTAAATAAAGGCTTAGCTGTCACCACATCGAGTTTTTCCTCCTCTTTTTTTCCTGAAGTTACCCTGAAAGGAAGAACTTCAAAATGTGAAGAATTATGCTTAAGTTGTGCAGTGTACTCAGGGTGGGGACTAATTACAAGGTTTAAAAACCTTTTTAGGTGGGTAGTTTCTGTACCATGACTAAAATATTGCTTTCCTAAATTGAGAACAGCTGTGGCCATGTTGCCAGCAAGTATAAAAGAGTTAGTGACGGTGCTCTGTGTCATGAAGAAGTCTTTGCTCTCTGGAGCTGGTGGATCTTTAAGCCAAAGGCACCCCTTCCTCATCGGTGTCGTGGTGGGTAAGTGCCCTGAGCTGCCCCTCTGGGGGCCAGTTTCTGTTGTTTGGTACAGAAATTGTACTGGCTGCATCAAAATGGCGTCAGTTACTAATTTACTATGTCAGTTGTTGTAAATTATCTTTCAAGTAACAGGGAGAATCTGTTGCCTAAAGGAGATGTCGCTAAGGCTTTGTGTATCTTCTCACTGTGTTATTTTGAAGGCTGTCAGTGTGCATGTATATAGTGTGCATCTCTGACTACAAAAGGTGGGGCTACTTCAAATACCTTGAATGTGTGGTTCTTGAATCTGTTCTGAAAAATGGTCACTAAAATAGACTCCAGTTTTTTAATGAGAAAATATAAAATTGACTGTTTTGACAAATGCAGAGAGTAACAATTATTCAGTGCATGTAAGCAACTTGTCACTGTTTTTTATTGTTTCTTTAAGCTTCATAGAAACGATGCATGCAGCCTGAGGAAGGAATGGTGTGCTCTCTGGGGAGGTTCTGGCTTATCATGACTTCATGGTTAGCAATGAGTAATCATGTCTGATAAACTGTTTGCAAGGTTGTGTCCTGACTTTTATTTCAAAAAAATTTAAAAGGAATTGATTATTAAAATGTTCCTATTTTCACTGACATCAGCTCAAAGAAAGGGACAAGCATTCCAAGATAAAACAATTCAATATTTTACAAATAAACTCTGTCTCAGCAGTTTTAACTATGTTCTGACAATGTATTTATAAAAGAAATAACTTTGGTATTTGTTTCCTTATTTTGATAATGTTTTTGTGTTAGATGGTTGACAGTTGAACAAGCACAGATCTGAATATAGTTTTGTTTTGTTTTTACAGGTGGGATAGTAACATCTATGGGGAAAAGAAAACAGCTTTCTTTCCTGGAAGTGGTGAATGTACAGCAGATCACTGCGTGGGAGGAACAGCAATCAGATGACCACCTTCTACTTCTGTGCTAGCAAACAGAATCAGTTGTAAGAGTCCATGTTGAACTTGGAAGCATTAAAAAAAGTTAAATTCCCACAAAGAACAAGAACTTTACCATCTCCTTTTTGATCTCAAGACTGGGGAGACAATGGATGTCATAGAGACAGCAAAACTTGAAGAACATATGGAAAATCAAACCAGTGATCCTACAAACACTTACACAAGACCTGCTGAAACTGTTGAAGAAGAAAACAAAAATGGCAACGGGAAACCAAAGAGCTTATCCAATGGGTTGCGAAAGGGCACCAAAAAGTACCCAGACTACATCCAAATTGCTATGCCCACTGACTCGAGGAACAAATTTCCCCTCGAGTGGTGGAAAACAGGCATTGCCTTCGTGTACGCTCTCTTCAACCTCGTTCTGACCACTGTCATGATCACAGTTGTACATGAGAGAGTCCCTCCCAAGGAGCTCAGCCCTCCGCTCCCAGACAAGTTTTTTGATTACATTGATCGGGTGAAATGGGCATTTTCTGTATCAGAAATAAATGGGATTATATTAGTTGGATTATGGATCACCCAGTGGCTGTTTCTGAGATACAAGTAAGTCTAATTTTGGGGGGCTTGCCATTAGCTTGTATTTCAGTGAGTAGATGTGTAAATGAAATTACCTTTCTCAGTTTTATCTGATAAATTCAGTCTTATCCAGGCATTTAGCAAAAGAAGTAATAGAAAAGTCCACTACATTAAGTAAATCCAGTGACTAGTCAGTAAGCAATTTTGGAGCAACCGCATGAAAGTAGCATCTATGTAGGGAAGTGCAGAAGTACCACGGTGGGTGATTCAGAGTTTATGAATTTAAGGTGCAGTTTCTGATTTCAAGCAATTTAGTGCTGTGGTATTTGCATGATAAATCAAGAGGTTGGAAAGGAATAACATTCACTTCATCATGCTTGTGTTATTTTAGGCTTCTGACAAGTGGGGAATGGAGGAGGCCAGGAAGCTTCTCTCGCCGTTTCTCATGATGGGATGACTATATTATAGGTCTGTGGTCAATAGCATGCTTTGAGGGTTGCTTATAAGGAGTTCTCAAGTTTTACCTTTCTTTTTCTTTTGCCTTTGAGCAATGCAGTCCCAAGAGTTTAAGAACCTGAATTTAGAAATGGGTCTGTGCGGTTTAGGTTTTAGATTTCTAAAGAAACAGTGTCCTCTGGTATCCCTGTGGCACCACAAAGGAGCCCTTAGTTCCTGGTTTCATTCTCTCCATTTGGAATTGGAGGACTCAGGAAATAGCAAGCCAGGTACTTTAGCTTTGACACTTAAAAATAGGACATAGCTCTGAAGTAGTTATTTTGGCTTCCTTGTGAAGTCTGACCCCTAGTTCATAGCAAATTAGCCTCCTCAACTTTTCTTTTCACTCCCTTCATCATTAAGATGCCTGTTTTCTACTAAGATTCTAGTAATTAATCACTAAAATATAAGTTTGGTCAAAACATTGCCCATAAGCTGCAGCTTTTGAAAATGTATGCTTAGTTGATAGAATGCAAAACTTCAAACAGGATTTCAGCATTTAAATCAATCTTATCATCACTAAAGAGTTCCCCAAATGTATGTTTGCAATTTTGAAAACTTATTCCATAAACCAAAGTCATTCCTAAGCATATTCCTTAATACATGTAAGTAAAAGACATAGCTATCAATTCTTCAATTTAGAAGAGCTTTTTGCTGCTGATGTAGTTAGTTATGGCGTGCTTTATGCTAAAAGGAAACAATGTATTTGTTGAACCTTAATGCTTCCTTTTTAGCATCTGGAATTGACACTGAATATAAGAGAGGCTGCTTGGGCCAAAGATGTTTGCTTTCTCCTTTAATTTAGAGCAAAGTTTCATTCACATAGGTGTGAAAGAGAAATTTTCCAGGGTCTGGTAAGTAGTTGGCCTCCACCCTGAAGTACAGTCCTGACTTATTTGAATCATTGTCTAGAGAATTGTTACCTGCCTATCCATTACCTTGGATTTTATCATTGTAGCAAGCCTTTGAAAGAAATGCTTTGCAATAGATAAATACTTTCATCTACTAGTCTAGGTGATGTTCCATTCTATATTTTGACCCCAGAAACACTGGAATATTTATAAAATATTCCAGGAGACAAGCAGCTAAAATTTTATTTGTTCATAGTTCTTTAAATTAGAAATCCCAACAGTTACCTGAATTAGACCTTGATCCATGTCAGACCATAGCCTTGTAGAAGACTTAAACTATGCCACATGCCTCAAACTGCTGTTTTTCTAGAACTCTCTGATCAATATTAGTTTTAAAAGTTTTGAGAGCTCTGAAAATGGGAGACCTAGAGTAATGTAGTTTAGGCACTAAGGAAGTTATTACCAGTAATTTGAGGGGCTTTATGGACCCCCCCCATCTCTCAATCCCCAAAGCCCTGAGTTTAGAGACCCACCCCTTAACTACACAACAAAATAAGTTGTCGTCTTCAATTGGAAGCAAGGACATTCAAAACCCTTGGTGCCATTCAGCCACCTAAGAGGCAAACAGACAGGGCCTCTCCCTTTGGAGGACAGTGTGCGCAAGCCAACTGCTGGGAACCACTGCCTTAACTGAGGATTCAGGTGGTGCAGGACAGGGACCAATGTTTTCAAGACAACAATCTCCACCAAAAAATATCAAGTGAAAAAGGACTTGTGGGATTTTTGTTTGGCATTTTTTTATCAAGATTGAATAAAATAAGGGAAAACCAATCAGTTTACACTTGGACATCTTCAAAATGCAATTCTCAAAAAATCTGTATAGTTGTAGACAAAATAGTTCATGCCCAAGTTGTCAAAATACTTTTGGATGGTCCCCAAATAAACCCTTCTTATATAACTCAGGTTAAATGAGTTGCCCCATTTCCCTATGTGTCCAATTATGTAATATCACCTAAGCTCATTAGTTAATTCCTCTGTGACCATGGCTCGCTTATACCTTGATATGTTCTCAAGAGAGGGTTTTGTTAATGCGGTGAGTTGGCTGAAAACGTAGAAAGATTCATTGAATTCTCAGGCAAAGAGTGACCCTTTTAGAAGTAGTTACCTAGAACCCTTCATCTACTTTAACTTCCCCACTCCCCACAAATTCAGTCCTTCTGGGCCACATCCCACCTAGAATTTTGGCAGTATATGAATCTTTGTTTCTGAAAACTGCATGGCAATCTCTCCATGGAATTGTGGGGGTGAACAGCTTACATAAAAGCTTTAAACTGTGAAACTGTCGTCTGTTAGTGCCATTCTATATTAATTATTCTTCTGTTAAACATTTGTTTTCTGTTGTATTAATAACAGGAACAACCAATAAACTTGTCTCTTCCCATCCCTATTTTTTCCTTTAGGTCAATAGTGGGGCGCAGATTCTTTTTTATCATTGGGACTTTATACCTGTATCGCTGTATTACAATGTATGTCACCACTCTCCCTGTGCCAGGAATGCATTTCCAGTGCGCTCCAAAGGTAAGCAACTCTGAACTACCTACCACTGGGAGGAAACCAAGAAAACGGTTACTGTTATGCATTCTTCTAGACACGTTCTTATGTGTTAACTGAAATCTAGCATATTTTCTGTTTTTCTTTAGATTTGGGGGGAAGAATTAAAATGTGTTCATACAGTATTTTTATGCATCAAAAATTTATTATTTGCTAATTATGCGTTATAATGGGACATTGAACTCCTTGCTTTTTTTTGCCTTCTCCTATGCTTACCCATTCCTGCATTCATTCTACAAGTATTAAGCTCCTGTTTTGTACCAGGCACTGTAGTAACAGCAATGACTGCAACAAAGTCCTTCTTCTGCTAGAGCTTGTGTTCTATCAAGGGATAACAACTGATAAGTAAATTCCTAACATGTCACATAAGCCAGATGTCTCTCAAGTGAAGAATAGTAAAGCTGAGTAAGGGTGCAGGGGACTCTGAGGGTTGGTACTACTTTGTAGAGGGATCAGCGAGGCTTCTGTAATAACTTCTGCCCAATAAAGTATTTGGGCAGGACCCAAGAGGAGGGAGTGAGGCATGTGGATGGGGTGAGGGCTGTTGGCCAAGGAACAACTTAGCTATGGTAGGTGCAAGAAAGAGCAGGGAGTCCAGTGTGGCTCAACAGAGCTGTGAAGAGCTGAGGTGGTGCCTTGGGGGGTCTTTGGGGCCCACTGGAGGAGCTTGAACCTTGCTGGTGGCAGTGAAAGTGAGGAGAAGCCATTCAATGCAGGTTGTATTTTGAACATAGGGCCAATGGGATGTGCTGATAAGTTGGATAGAGTTTTAAGAGAAAGAAATCAAGGATGACCCCAAAGTTTATAAGAATTGGAAAGAATGGCCTTTTGCTGGAATATAACGTGAGAATGGATGCTGAAACTATTTTAGGCAGGATTTACATTTTCTCCAGGTGGATGGAGTCACTTCTCAAGAGAGCTATTAGTCATCTTAGACCCCAGTATGCCCTGGTTTGTAAAAAAGGAAACTTACAAATTATGTGCTTTCTGGAGAAGGGAATGAAATCTAACATCATATTTTACTGAATACTAATCAGAAGTCCACAGTAGGAGGAAATAGAATTGTGTTCTGAAGAAGTCAACATTCTTCCTCACCAAATACAGGTGTGGTTTGGAAAAGCTTTAATTTTCCAAAGCCATCAAAGCAGAAAGTATCTGTAATTAAAACAGTGTACATATTGAGTTTAAACATTAGCTGATTTTGAGAGAAACTAATTTAAGACATGGGAGACATGCAAAAGCATAATAAATACTTTAAGGGGTTATTGCTATGTGTTAAATGAAGAAATGGGCACAGAAAAGAGGCCAAGACCATCCTAGTAATAAATGAGGTTTGTGGGATGAATTGCTATGATTACAGAAAGAAAGTAAATTAAAGATTATCGTCTGTGGAAGAGTTGCCGTTTTCTCAAGCTGCATCAGTAAATGTGCCCCCTGGAATACCAAGCTACAGATACAGTGGAAGCTCTGGTCGCATCCTTACTAATCAGCTCCCATGTCCAGTTGTCAAGACCTCTTCCTGAAGCATAAGCAGGCAGTAGGTGCCTGAATTACTGTTCAGAAAAACAAGCGCAAATCACTTTGTTTGACTAGAGGTGATGTGGTGCTAGTGAGCGGGAGTCAGAATTGTGTTCTAAATGTGGTTCCGCCACCAGCTTTGAGTGCTCCTTAAATTCTCTGTGGTTTTAGGCTATTAGACGATCTACCTGTCGCCTTTGCTGCTGACTCTGTAGGATGCCCTTCAGACCTACAAGCAATGATAGAACTGTGTGTCCTGAAGCAACTCGCTTTGGGACCGTGTCAATCTACTTATGATGCCTAGTACTGCTCACTGCTCCCTGGATGACCAGAGCCACAAGTGTTGGGCCCCCGGCGAAATGCTTTGCCCTCGCACTTTCCCAGTGGCCCTCTCCCTTGTCTATCTATGGTTTACTTTAAGTCCTTTGCTTATAATTTGCTTCAACCCACCAACCCAAGCTTTGGTTTGCAGTCACAAAATGTGTGTCCTGAAAAGTGTTTAAATAAAATTTTGGCCTATTTATTAGGACTCACGTAAAATGATTTAGCTTTTAAAACCTATTTTGCCACATACAGGAATGGGGTATTAGGCAGGGATAGTTCCTTTCCCTTTCCTAGAAAAGCTCCTTCTCCCCACAGCCATGCATGTCTAAAGGACTTCTCTTCTGAACTGAAGGGACTGTGTGGCGGGTAACATTTCTGGTTTGGCAGAAGCTGAGTTAGGCTCTCTTTTGCTTTATTTATTTTTGGGGAACTGGTATATGGGGGTCACTTTCTGAGGAGCCCTCAAGAACACACAGCCCCTGTCTGCTTTGGCTCTTAGGGTTGATTCTTCCCCTCAGTTCTCGATCTTCAGTTCCATGTCCAGTAAGGAACTAGAGGCCTTAGTGGTGCGTGATGGGGGTCCTAATGAACTAGAACAGAAACAGAAAAACAGCCATTAATCCCACTGTATGATCCCTCCTTCCCCAGGTTTCTTTCTAGCCTCTTTTTTTTCCTTCCTTTCTCACTGTTCTGTTTAGCATACTCCACGTGATCTGACATCTTAGGATAACAGTGACAGAACTAAATAATAAGTCCTGAGAAAAGGACAAGAAGGGACAGTCCTTCCTCTGTTGTGCAAAGGCATATTGAATCAAATGTGGTGCGATTCTCCACTCATTAGCACTGCTGAAAGATGGAGGGAAGAGAATGTGTGGCGATATTTTAGCTCCTCATTTGTTTATACTTCTGGATCCATTTAATCCTGAAGTAAAGGGGCTGATGGCTTTAAGCGTTTGTGTCCCTAGAAAATCAGAGCATTGAGTTGGGTTGTGTGACTGGATAAAAAAGTTATCACAGTTTTGAAATGAAAAATAGTGTGTTCTTTTAAGCTGGGAACACAATGGTTGGACAGAGCATATGTACCTTTTTACTTGATCTCAGTGTTGACAGTTCACACCGACTGCATGACAAGAAATTCCTGAAGGACTGCGGTTGATCTGATAAAGCACATGGCATCAGTAAATGATAAAGCACATGGCTAGATTCTATCCTCCTCACCAACAGCAGGTCACATTATCTTACACAGTGTGCAGTCCACCTCTACCAAGGTGCACCTGACGTGAGTGCCGCCACTCTGTCACCCGTACTTACCTTTCTCAGGTTTGGATCCTTAACTGCCTTTCAGATCTTCTTTTCAAGGCAAGATTACCTATTACTTGGCATGTTTAATTTAAGGACAGTCGACCCTTAATAAAACACGTATGTTCTCCTGGTTTGGCACCTGGGCTTGCCCATGGCAGACTTTTGAGGAAGGTTAAGTTTCTCAGCCTACCCTCTAACCCTGCTCTACTTAATTTTCTCTTGCAGAGCCTTATTCCCAGCTATCAACCAGTCATGGTGCATTTGCCTTTTTACAAACATCACCGAATACTGGACAGCTTTCCAGATTCATAAGATTATTTTTTTGTAATTGGGAAAGTTTTAGACTCCCCAGTAGTGATGTTTAAGGCATAGAATCCTGCCCCCAATTCCTGTCATACTGGGTAGAATGGTTTTCCACTTGTCTTGGAGGCGACTCAATATCTTCACTCCTAGACTCTCCTCCCATCCATCTGCACACGTTTTAACTGCCCTTCACCCCCATGCATCCACTTGGACAAGACACTACCCATCTTCACCACCAGTTAACCACTATCATGGCTGGACTGGCTATGCTTCGGGGCTGGTTCCCCAAAAGGATCATCACCGAGTATGAAAGGCAGCATGTCGTACAACTGTTTCCCCAGGTCCCAGATGAATTGTCATTCATAGTCTGTCTATATTTCTCTTCTCATGTGTACTGTTACTTTACCTTATTTTTGAGAATCACTGTTTCATTTTCTAAGCCTGTTTACTTGATCCTAGACTGAGGTGAAACTCTCCATCCAGCCCTTCAACATTTCAGTATTTCTATTTTCCATGCTTACCATTTTTACCAATACAGTTCACTACTTCTTCCTGAATGCTTAAGTTTTAATGGGATGTGAACTTTTGACTATTGTTTCAAACTCCTGTCCTAGCCCACCATTGTTTCCCATGTTGTCACAATAGCTTCTGGGGGCTTCTATATCCTTGTCTGAAAGAGTTCATTTCTGACTCTCTACTTTTCCTGATCAAAGCTACTCATTTTTAAAGCTGCCAGTACATCCCTAATGCATCATTTTCAAGTCTATCTAAATAAATTATTTAATGTGTTGCAGCTCCCCCTTTAACTGTAAATGTTTTAACTGGATTTTAATACAGTTACATGCACATTTCAGTCTTCCCACTTAGCACATGATACAAATATACTTTAGAATATTAGTAATGTGGTATTAGCTGAATCAAATATTAACCATCCAAAATCCTGACTTCCCCCTACATAGAGGAAAGTAGCTTTGATCTTTTTAGTGCATAGCTGTGATGAAGTCATTGGTTATTAATATTTTTAAAAGCTTTGTCCAAGGACACACAACCACCAAAACATATTATTAGTAACATACTGAATAATTTAAAATGTCACTAAAACTCACCAATACAATGAATAAAACATAGTTTGAGGAGCTTCCTCCTTGGATTCTTGTTGATTTTTTTTAATTAAAAAGGAAAAGAAAACACAACCTGCTGACTTTTCTAAGTATCACACAAGTTAGGCCAAAACATGGTTTTATTAGCTTGTTAATTTTCTTCCTGATCTTCTATGTAATTTAGCTCAACGGAGACTCCCAGGCAAAAGTACAACGGATTCTGCGGTTGATTTCTGGTGGTGGATTGTCCATTACTGGATCGCATATTCTGTGTGGAGACTTCCTCTTCAGTGGTCACACAGTTGTGCTGACACTTACTTACTTGTTCATCAAAGAATGTAAGTGGTAACTCATTCCTTCTTTACTGACTACTGTAACCGGAGGGATCCCTAGGCCCTGACACTGATGGGAGCCTTTATTCTACTGGAATTGCTAGCTGTGAAAGAGACGGATGCGTGCACGCACGTGTGTGTGTGAAATCATTTCAACCGGTCATGTGTGATTTGAACACTGAAAACTTAAAACAGCCCTGCTTCTAGCTGTTAGCATACGTCCAAAATGTCTGCCTCCTCGGCTAGAACTTCTCAAGGTATGGGAGGCTGTTTCAGTGCTGCAACTAAGAAAAATTATTGCTATTGCAAAAAGAATCAGTGTGCTTGAAAGCCAAGTGTAAATCACTTTTGTGTGAAACTTCCATTCCGTCATTCCAAATCATTTGATGTTTTCCCCCTTTTAAAAAGTTTCCTTGTCCCACTTTATTCCAATTTCATGATTTTCCAGCCAGCTGCCTCTGTGCTTTAATAGACATCCTCATGTTTTGCCAATACTGATCATTTTCTTTGTAAGAAGCAGCATGGAGGCAGGAATGGGAAGTATCTTTCCATGTTTATATACTTAATTCATATTACACAAAATCCTTGTATTCCAGCAGCTTTCATGGCTGGAATAATTTCTTCATTGTGGGGCTGTATTTGCTTTTAGCTGCCTCACAGACCCCATTCTTGGAGATTTCTGTGGTTTTATATAATTAGGCACATTATCTCAAAATCCTTCCTATACAGTGATTCTTCCCCCGCCATTTTTGCAGACCTTGTCAGTATTAACCTTCATCTTAAGTTTCAGGATACCCCATGCCAGTGTTTTTAGACACTTATGTCAATTTTCTTCATGTACATAGCATATTATCAAGGGGTCTTCTGGCAGAAACCACCAGAAGGAGGCTTCCCCCTCCCTCCTCATGCCTCTTCCATCTTCTCTTGGCCTGTCATTAATCCAAACAGGTTTAGCCTCATGTAATGGCAGTATGGACATCAGGGTTTATCTTTCAGTGGTGCAGAAGTGAATTCTTGCCCCATAGCTTGCCTGGGATTTTAGGTTTAGCTTTTGCTTTGAGGAAAATATGACAAAGAGTTGAGATTCTCTGCAATAGATGAAGCAAAATCCTTTGGGGGGATGGTAAGGATTGTATGGCTTCTGAGTTGTTTCGTTTGTAAATGCCACATACGAACTCAGAGTAGGGAAGATGTGTTAAGCGGGCAGCCGTCATCATACTTGACTGAGGGAAAGGGCTCTCCAACCCTTTGTCCTTATCTCCACTGTCACAAGTCTGAGAGGCCTGGTGAGGAGGAACCGAGGCCGTCTGTTGCACCAATAACAGAGAATACTCAGTTACGTTTCAACCACTACATTTCTAACACCTACTTCTAGGTTCTAGGGAGCAGGTAGAGGGATTTATTATGATTCTGAGTCTAACTTTCACTGAAGAAAGTTCCATCTGTGAAACATCATTTTCCAGTCCACGGGTGCATTTGAGTGGTAGGATCTTTCTCACCTGAGGATCATGAGAAGCTCATAGAAGATGTGGGTGAGAAGGAGCAGCTGCATGTCAAACCACAGCCACTGTGGTTTGAAAACCACAAAGTAATGAAGAGAAAACACCCCAGAAAACTGAGAGTTAGTTTTATAAAATAACTGAAGATTTAAAATAATAAATGGATATAAACTCTGTGCCAGACACTATTCTAAGCCCTTGATACAAATTAACTCATTTATTCCTGCAACCACTCCATGAGAGAAGCACTATTTCCCCATTTTTCAGAGAGGACACTTCAGCATAGAGAAAGTGAGTAACAGAACTAGTCCCCGTTAGTAATTGAAGGGCAGGGTATTCAGACTCCCAGCCAGCAGACTCCAGAGATTCTGCTATTCATTTATTGGCTCTGTTTAGTTTTGGAAATGCACATTGTCTGATCTTACAGAATCGCTAAGGAACAATTCTGGGTATATTTCTCATTATTGTTCTTCTTCTACCTCAGCAACAGCAGGACAACTTGTGATTACTCTTACCTTCAAAAAGGCTATGCAGTACATGGAGATATTTTCTTCCCAAGACATGATTTTAGCTTGAGGTTTTTAAAATTTGTAAGTTGACATATTCCAGGGAAAGAATTACATTCTGCATTTCCCAATTTTTGGTGAGAAGTAAAATGGCAAATCTATAATGCTTAATGCAAACTCAACTTTAGAGCCAGTCTAGTACATAAACAAGGCAGTCCATGTTTATGCCATTTCCTATGCAATTAGGAAAAACAGTCACATTCTAAATTATACCGTGTGTTATTGGTCTGACTAAGAAGTGGTTCCAGAGGCTTCTTTGAACAGTCTGCATCTAGAACTAGATATATCATTTATATATTTTTTGCTTTCCTGCCTTTGATCTGTTAGGACTCTTCCCTTGTTTGCTCTGTTGTTATGCATGGATTTGAATTTAGTCATTAGGGCAGATGAAAACTTGGGACCAGGATGTTTTTTGGGTTAGCAAGAGAGCTTTACCCAGTCATGCAAATATTATCACTGGGGCCCAGGTTCCTTATAAAATCAGCCTGGAGAAATCAGCCCAGCTATTGGTACCAAATGTCTTACTAATTGAGGAGGAGGAAAAAAAAATTTTTTTTTTAACCTGGTCGCCACACAAATCCCACTGTCATTCAGTGACAGCTTGGGCTAGGATCACACACAGATAGTAGAGTTAATGAGTATTTGTAATGTCATCTTTTAGCCTGATGTTACCCTTATAGGAAGATTGAGAGAGCAGAAAAGATTACCATTTTGCCATTTCTATTTCAAAATAGTTTATATTGAATCTTTTGTCGGGGGGCAGCCAGTGTTCTCAATTAAAGAGCAGTGGTCTCCATGTGGTAGCATAATAACGAATACATTTTTATGCATGAGCAGTGCTAGTGCTTCCAGCTATTCCTAAAACCTCACTTTGAATTCTACAAGTAGTATAATGATCATTCAGGCCATCTCTTTACCTTATCTACTTCAGTTTTGCTTCTTGTTGATAAACAAATACAAAATAGTTCTGGTTTGTCCAAGCATTTTGAAATTCTAAGGTAAACACTGGATGAAGTTGTTTTGGTGTGAGCAATGGAAGTTGGGTTGGTGTGAGACTTTAGGGAAGGGTGAGGTCTGTAGTACTGAAGAATGCACATTTAGTGAAATCTCCAGATTTCTAATGTTCAACTTTTAACATTCTGAGGAACTTAGTGGCAGGGTGAACCAATTGAAATGTAATAAGGAACACAATCAAAATTAGAAAATCAGACTTTCAAATGCAAATACCAACTTATTATTCTACTGTTCCACTTGGAACCTAAAGAGCAACAGTTTTTCTACCAAAAAAATTTTTTATTTGAATGATACCTGATTTGGTACTTCATCTAAAGTTCTGAAAATGGATCCTTCTCCTATTCAACCATTCTTCCACACTTGAAAGCAAATATCAGTATGAATGTATTTGAGGAGCTAAATATGAAAATTTGTTAGATTAGCTTTTATTGTGAGCTAAATAAAGCTTTAACGTAGGAAAAATAAATAGTTATTAAAGAAACAGAAGAGTTACGGTGATTAACTCTTGTTCGCTTTATACCTATATTGTTAACACTTGTGTGCGAAGGTTGTGGGGTGCATGATCACGTGTAACCTGGCAAGGTCTCTATTTTTTTTCATAGCTGACTAACATCATGACCTTCTTACTGGCCTGAGTAGGAAGGCTAAAATCCATAAATGATTGGGCAAGCGTCCTAAGCTTTATATAGGGAGTGCTTGATAGTTGCTATTGGCAGTAACAGTATAAAATTGCTGAGAATGAAAATATTGCTAGCCACAATGCCAGTTTTCTCTCTTTGGATAAATCAGGTTATATAAACTCTGATTATTACTACTGCTTTCTCATTTTCCCCCCATTCACATTGGCAACTACCTTTTCTTTTGACCCCGACTGTTTTTCTCTCTAGTGGGGTCTTTTAGGTGAACCAATGTGAGCCCATTCCCACCAACCTAATAAACAATTCTGTTCTCTTCTGTATTAGACAGCCTAGCAGTGGGCAAGACCTAGAGAATTTAGTGTTTCCAGCCTTCCCAACAAGTGACTATTAGACCTGCTACCAGGGTTCCCCCTCTCCTGTCCTGGACTGTTCACAGTGACTCATTTTGAGTTATCTGTTTTCTCCTTCCGGTGACTTCCTGACCTTAGGTTATCCTACTATGAGTACATCTCAGGGAGTCTTATTAATGCTGTAATTTTTCTACTGTCCAGATTCGCCTCGTCACTTCTGGTGGTATCATTTAATCTGCTGGCTACTGAGTGCTGCCGGGATCATCTGCATTCTTGTAGCACATGAACACTATACTGTTGATGTGATCATTGCTTATTATATCACAACACGGCTGTTTTGGTGGTACCATTCAATGGCCAATGAAAAGGTGAGAGCAGTGAAATTATCCTTGGATAGTTTCTTTTCTTTAAATGCAGAGGACCCCTTTTCATACAGTGGGTTTAAGGTAGCCTAATGGGAAAAATTGCTGTGGTTTAGGTGACTTAAACTTATGTCCCTTACTGCTTCTTAAAGTAAATTCACTTAAACTTGTGTCCTTTATTGCTTCTTAAAATAAAGAATGTCACAAACACAAATGACATTTAAGGATAAAAATGCTGTATAATCATAGAGCCTGGTGTTTTATTAATTCTACTAATTTATATCAGAATTGAAGAAGTATAAATGCTAAATTAAAATTTAGGAACCTTCTCTGTAGAACTATTGTGATGCAGTTAGGTAAGACATACTCCCTTGCCCCCAAAGAACTTGGTTTTGAGAAAAACGTAGCAACTATTTTAAAAGCCAGGCAGAATATGTAGCTTATGAATTCCTGGCCTTGGAACATCGTCTGTGCTGCGGTGCTCTCCAGCTTCTCTTTTTATCCCTGCTTGTTTGTTTCTGCTGCCTCCTGTTCCCAGATGACCATTTTTTCCTTCTCCCATTCATTTTGAAAGAGCTAATTCAAATGCCACCTTTTCTGGGAAGCCTTCCCTGACTCCTGCCCTCTAGTCCCCGGATGGAATGATTCCTCCCCTTCTCTGTGTTTCCTAGACTGGTGTGTGTCCTTGGTATGACAGAGGGAGTCTGCACACCATGACCTCCTTATCTTTGGATAGGTTTTCCATATTGTCTGACGCATATAATGTTTGGAGAATTTGTGAGCAATTGAATATGTCATTCCCAAAGGATCTAAACTCGATTCCCATTTGGCAGTACCCACTAATAGATGCCCCTCCTATGGATTACTTTGTCTTTGTAGCTCTGTTTCCTATTTTGTAGTCTCCTCTTTCCGTCTTCCTTCTTGCCCTTCCATCCAGATGTCTGCTGACACCACTGAACCCGGACTTTCATCTTTCCTCTCAAATATGCTTGACCTTGTATGCTCACTTTTCACTTTTCATCTTCTCTGCCCGTTCATCTGACCACTCACACATCCTGAAAGCTGTCACTCCTGGGTAGCTCTCACATCCGTTCCCGAGTCCCCACTCTTACTGGAATTGCAGGCAGAAGACATTGCATGAGCCACAAAGAGGGAAAGTGAGGGGAGGGTGTCTGGTGTCAGAGTCAAGTCAGAGTTGGGGGAGACACAAAGACAACTGCTGCCTTGTGATCTGGATTCTGCTGCTTTCTCTGCTTTGCTGCAATGAATGATAGTTTAATTAAGAAGAAAAAATAGGATGCAAATCATGAAAAATGTCTCATTTTCCTTTTTTCCTACTTTTTACAGAACTTGAAGGTCTCTTCACAGACTAATTTCTTGTCTCGAGCATGGTGGTTCCCCATCTTTTATTTTTTTGAAAAAAATGTACAAGGGTCAATTCCTTGCTGCTTCTCCTGGCCACTCTCCTGGCCTCCTGGCTGCTTTAAATCGTCATGCAAAAAATATTCACGGGTTCAGAAGATCGGTGAAGATAATGAGAAATCCACCTGAGGGGCAAATCAAAGGCACAAGCTCTTATACCAAAACAGTTAACGCTGTAACCAAAGGTATAGTTTTGTGTTTTTATTTTAGGAGAACTGAGTGGTAAATGAAGAAGTGGACCAAATTTTGTGTAAATGATTAGAAAGATGAATGAAGTATTACCCTTGGACTGTTTTTTTATTCATCCTGAGAAAGGTATATTCTCCTGCAGCTCTTCATTCATTGGTGACAAGCCTCTGCCTGGGATTTTACTAATGAACTTGTTAAAGAGGTGCCAAAGAAAATATTACTCCTTTCCTTATTCTTCACTAAAGCCCTCCACAGAATTTTTTCAGGATTTTTTTTTCCTCTGGGGTCAGAAGAATTTGTTAATGTTTTAAATAAAATATGTGGATATATACAGCTACTATGTAAATATGATAACCTAATGCTGAGAGTGGTTTTAGCCTTAGGCTTGTTAGTGAGGGGAGCCTGTGGGTTATGAGTAAACTTACAGGTGAACTTTGTTTCTCCCCCATCACAGGGAAGGTCGGGGTCGGGGCTGGCAACGGGCACTGCTGCTACCACCCAATGCACTATGTTTCACTTTTACTTTTCTTTACTTAATTGATAATTTTATATATTTAAAAAAATACAATAATCTAAAATATGGAAGTATTTGACAATAACCCCCTGGGTTTTACACGTGTGTAAATATTTCACTTTAAAATCTCAATGACAGACACCCAGGAAACATGGGGCTCTTGTTGTGAAGGAGTGGCCCTTGGGTACACCCTTCCAGGCTGTGTGCCTGGTGAATATGTGTCTGGTACCCCCAGGGCGGTGTTCCGAGAGCACACAAAGGTGAACGGACCTCTTACCACTTGAGGAACAAGCCTTCGTGTTTCCCTCAGGTCCTGCCTTGTGGGAAATCTGTTTTGGAGCTGCTAATTGGAGCTCAGAAATACAATTGGTCACATTTCAGTGAAAACAATTACTTTCTAATTACATTGTACTTTATGGAAAAACTAAGAGGGAGTCCAAAAGTTTAGTGTATCCTTGCCTTTTAGCAGGAGACTCAGCTTCTTATACATGGCCCTAAGGACATATGCCACATTAAGTAATTTTAATTTAACGCTGAAGTTATACCGTGGTGCTGCACTATAATCTGTTGGAATCAGTGTGTTAAATGGATCATAGCTACTCAGTAAGGGGAATAATTGTTTCTAAAGTTCTTTGAGGTGATGAAAAAAAAAAAAGCTGGATTTTAAAACATCTGATGAGTTTTAATGCTGTCAGATTTTGTGCATTAATTAATGCTGTTGAATCTTTTGGATAATTCTTGGCTTAATTTCTTAAGACTTACAGTAACCTTTGAAAAGGAGCGTTACAAAATCAACACTAGGCCAGGAGGTGGAGAGGTCAATGGCGTGAGTGGAGGTAGTTACCTTTATATTGGTGAAAATTCCACCCCACCCCCACCCCCCACCCCCGCTTAGGATGAAAAACAGTCCTAAATTTGTCATTATAGTCAGCCTTGATTCTGTACACAAAATCGGCCTTTAAATTGCTTGAGAGAAGCAGAAAACACATCTGTTCAGAAGGACATTATCCTTTGGTGCTAAAATTTTGTGTATGTTTTCTTTACGGCTCTTCCTCTGTAATAGAAGAATCATGAAAGGAAAGGTGTTTGAATCCAAAGGCAGGAAAAAAGACTCTCTCATCTGGTTATTTAAAACAAGAATTGAAACCCTAAACATCCTTGGCAGGCTTTGAAATGCAAGGAGTCTTTCCAGTATTTATTATTAAATAAGCTAATAAGAAGCAAATCTCTAGTTTACCTGATATGCGTAGCCATATTTCTACGTAACTTCCACTCATTTTCCCTTACTAAATATTAACATTTATGACAGAACAAGGTGTTCTGTTTGAAACACAGATTTTAAATTCCTGCTGCATGACTGTGAGGAAGAGCACCTGACACTGAAGCCTGCGCTTTGCTCTCCTAACCTTGGTGTACCCCTTGAGCCTCTAATTCAGATAAAAGAGCCTAACATACCTTAGAGCCTTATTCATCTGTATCTTGGATAGCCCTCTTTTCCTTAAATTAAATAAGGAAAAGTGTTGAAGCTTTAGAAATCATGGTGTATGGATTGTTGGAGACTCTTGAAACAATAACCCTTGCGTTTTAGTCAAGAAATGCAGTTTTTAAAAAAATATACCATCACCTTTTAAAGACATCTATGACCCTATGACCCTTCATGTGTGGACACTGCTGCTCCTGTGTTCTTTACCTGTATATGTCATAGCTGTCTAATAGATGCTGAGGAAGCATGTGGTTTGAAAATAAGGAGGGAAAATACAGAAGTTTCAAGATGCTAACATAAAAGACAGAGTGAAACTCATTTACAGATAGGAAAGCAAACAAAGTTTAACCCAACATGCCACTTTGGGACATAAAACATAAACAATTGTGATCTTGCCTTTGAAACAGTATATTTTTGGAGCTCCTTTTCCTGGCTAATTAAGATACAAGTTCTTCTCCATTACCCTTGTTTTTGTAAACCAGTGCTCCTGTTAGAAGCTTATCTTGTAATTTAGTCCTTCTGTGCAATATCTATAACATAATTCTTATTAATTATGCCACATTTTTTTTTCTAAATTCTTTCAATGGAATTTAATTCTTGTCAGATTCAGTTTTTTTTAGCTCTCCCACTAGCTCTGAAAATAAATTATTCTTCCCCAGTTCCACTCGAAGTAATTTTAATTTTTTTATTTAATTTACTGGCATCTTGGAAAACAAGTTTTGCTGTGCAAGGCAGGCTGTTTTGAGCGAGCCCAAGCCCAGTCAGGTTCCCCAACGATCTTGCTCAAGGCTCTTTGTTGTATACCAGTGCCCCCTTGTGGAAATATGTGATATGACTTGAAGCAAAAGCCACTTTTTAAAGTGTATTTTCAAGTTTTTAAAAGGCAATTGTTCTTTATTATTTGTGCCAGTAATCTGAAAGAATTATTTCAAAGATATTTTAAACTTTTCCCAAAGGGAAAAGTGCTTAGATCCCAGAGAGTTGGAATTCTAATCTTTTATCTTTTCATCAAAGAAAATTTGCAGACCATTTCACCTCTCACTATCACAATTATTAATGTCTCCCTTCCTAACACCTTCACTTTGTTTACTTTGAAACACTAAGTTGGCTGTCTTTCTAATATTTTTTATTTTTACATTCTAGAAGTCATGTTTCTTTGTTAATTGAGAGTTCATGTCTTACTCCTTAAATATTTTGGAAATTTCTTTTTTTAATTATTTTTTGTTGTTTTTGTTTTGCACTGTAAAACTGATTTAAAAATTAAGCCGGTCTTAACACACTCATTTCTGTAGTGTGAGTAAGTGTGAGAAGGAATTTCTTAATAAATGAGTTTACATGTTTAAATCAAGCTTATTATAAGTAGTATGCCATGTATTGAAGGCTTTTCTATTTGTATGTATAAAGATTTCTGGTATTTTTTTTTAATGTCATTGTGTTGCAATATAATTTAACTCCTTTGATTTACTTGCTAAAAATATTTTTTCTGTTAAGAAGGGCTCTTGACTTCAATACTGAAAATCATGTCAAAGGTACCCAAAGATACAGATACACCATACAGATACACACCATATCAAAATCTGATTTATGTTGTTAATCATCAATCTATGTTGTGTTCTAAATGAATATGAATGAGAATAGTTCTTTATTATGGAATTATTTAAAACTGTCCTTTAAAGGAGAAAGAAGGAACTATAAACATAAGCTAATCTAGTTGCCAAGTTGGAATTCATTATTTAATTTACCTCCTATGCAATGATTAATGCTGCAAAATGTATGCTTTTGTTACAGTATATTCAACAAAGGAAATATTATTACACGGTTTGAGAGGTAGCCAATTGCATTCTTTCAGAAATTTACTATACTGTTTCAATGTGTTAAGTGCCTTGTTGTAAAGTAAAATTTTAAGTCTAAAATCCATTATTTTCCTGACATATATTTTTCATTATGATCTATACTGTATGCTATTGTAATAGTTTTATTAAATGCTTACCTTTTAATCAAATATGTAAATTTTGAAAGCTCTCTTCTCCTACCCACCAGTACCTTAATCATTGATTGATCTGTTGGGATTTGAGTTCAGGTTCTACTTTTTTTAAGAGAGGAAGTTATCTTTGTTTAGAAATATGGTTTCCATGCCTCTGCTTTTGTGGTTGTGTTTATAAAAACATTTGAGAAGGAATTTAGGAGTGTAACTATAGTTTATACTTCTAAAATGCCATTTTACACTTATATTTTAAGTGCCTAATTGTTAGTTAACACTAATTTATGTTTCTATTCTAAAGAGGTATGTGTACTTGGTTTCTAATCTCTTTGGCTTTGCTTAAAAAAAAAAAAAAGCACGAGCCTATACTTTGTATTTACCCAATAAACCACAGTGACATTGGCAGTCTTTCAAAATTAGCATTACCATTTGTTTCAGTTTTTTAAGTGTGTTATTTTCTGTAAAGATTTTACATTTTTATTTAAAGTACTTATTAAAAACACAAGAGGATTATTTTCTTCAAGCACTATCTTAAAAATAAGGTGATAATCTTCAGTTAGCAGAACTGTCAAAAAACTGGAGTGTGTTATTTTTTCCTGCCCTTGGGTTTAGGTGAGAAATAACTCAGTAATATAAGGTCATTCTTGGAGACGAAAAAAATCAGTTACACACTCCATGATTCTGATTCACATTATTCACAAAGACAAAATCATTACTACTTCAAGGAAAGTAGAGTCTTTTGTGTTGCTCAGTTCTGAAAAAAACGTCATCCTCTTGCCTTCACAACCGGGGCACTCGGGTAACGTCCCCCACTGGGCTTCAGTAGTCATTGCTATAATGTAAGGCAGTGAGTTGTTTTTGGACCCCAATGAAGGACGAAGGCCTGACCCCCAAAGACAAATTTAGTAAAAGCAATTTAATGACGTGAGGGAGTAGGATATGATAATATGGTTCAAAGACTAAGTGGTTGGATAGAGTCCAGGTGTTTTCTTTGGAGTATCTGGAAATGATATAGATTAGAATGATCTTTCTGCCACTTCCACTCTGGCCTTGGATAAAAATCTTGTCACAATGAAGGTTACACCTTCTGATTTGAAACACTGTCAGGCTAGTTTTGCTGTTCACAGGCTCGAAGACCCTTATCTAGAATGTATGTTATCTAGAACAGTTAATGTGACCCTTCCCAAATCTTAGCATCTAACATTTCATTTTCTTCTAATAAAACATATAAGAATATCAGAAGCATAATACCAGAGTACTTGTCTATCACTTGGAATCATAATGGATTATGCACTGCTGTGTGTCTATAATGTGTACATAATTTATATGTAGCACATACAATGAGGCATAGCATTTTACAGTTTTTGTGCTTGACTTACATTCTTTAATCTTTACAAAACCCTGTGAAAAGTAGGCAAGGAAAGAGATGGTGACCCCATTCTGTGAGATGAAAGGTTTGTGAGTGTTAGAGCTGGGACTGGAGTTTCCTCTTCCGTGTTGCCACCTCCCATCACCCATGGTCACCATCACGATTTGGTAGAGGTTCTGTTGTTTGTTTTTGTGGGGAGTTTATTCCCTCATCAGCCAATTAGTTTGTTAAGAGGAAAACTGGTGCTGGGAATAGGTTCTTTGTCAAAAGCTACTGATTTTTTCTTACAGTTGCAATTTACTGCATCTCAGAGAGGAGAAGAGTTACAATGCCTCCAATGCAAAATGGCCTTGAAAGCAACAGAATTCCCAAGCGTTTGGCCTCACAGACTTCAGTTAGATTAAGTGAACTCATTGCTAGTGTCACTTACTAAAGAGTACATTACTGTGCTCTGAAGTTTTGCACAGGTTAACACGGGGTGCGGGGGACACACCAAAGTGCATAGAGCTTTGTCTGTAAACATGTCTCCCTCGGGGAATATTCCCGAAGGCCTGTCAAAAGGAGGGAAGATGTGATGACTTGCTTTCAAAGGACAGCAAAGCTCTGAGGAAATGAATGGCATCTTGGGAATCACTGCAGTCTAGGTTGGGCTCTGCAAAGGACCAAAGGGGCACCACAGCAACGTTTCGTCCTGCCATGAGCTGGTGAGTTCCCTGTGCTAAAAATCTGTCCAAACCAGCGTGTATGCTTGCTTCTGGCCAGGTTTTGGGAACACTTTAGTGCTTATATCCAAGCATTTATCTCTTCTACGTTAAAGGACATTTCTGTTTGGGTAAAGAAAAAAAGGAGCCACTCATTTTGAGAAGCATTCATGTATCAGGCACTGCTCAGTGGTTTGCTCTTAAGGCTCACAGCACTCATGCATGGAAGTCTGGTCCCGCTGCTTTGACAGTGGCAGCGGCTCAGACTGGAAAGGTAAACACAGGCAAGGAGCAAAGCTCGGCACACAAATCCCAATCCTGGAATGCCAAACGAAGCCCGTAATTTGCCTTCTGCACCAATGTAATAGAAGAGTCACCCCGTGTATGAAGAATTCAAGGAAAGAAGAAAACTTCTTGCAGAAATTTCTTGACAACCAAGTTTTGTGTTGTTGTGAACAAAGTTGAGGAGTACCTGAGACTGATCCTGGTACAAGTCTGTGACGCACTTTTCAGTAACTGATGTGGGGAATGCAGCAAGCCCCACTGCTCCCACCATCCCTCTGCTTTCCTTGCACACCTGCCTGAGGCCAATGGCAGAGGGGCTCGGGGCCTGTGAGGAGAACATGCCCCCAAAGCACACACTGGCCTTTGCTAGGAGGAGATGGCACTTTTCCTTCTTTCTTTTTTTTATTATTGTTATTTTTTATTTGGTATCATTAATATACAATTACATGAGCAACACTGTGGTTACTAGAATTCCCCCATTATCAAGCCCCCACCACATACCCCATTACAGTCACTGTCCATCAGCATAGTAAGATGCTACAGAGTCACTACTTGTCTTCTCTGTGCTATACTGCCTTCCCCGTGCCCCCACCCCTACGTTATGTGTGCTAATCATAATGCCCCTTACTCCCCTTATCCCTCCCTTCCCACCCACCCTCACCAGTCCCCCTCCTTTTGTAACTGTTAGTCCATTCTTGGGTTCTGTGATTCTGCTACTGTTTTGTTCCTTCAGTTTTTGCTTTGTTATTATACTCCACAGATGAGTGAAATCATTTGGTACTTGTCTTTCTCTGCCTGGCTTATTCCACTGAACATACTACTCTCTAGCTCCATCCATGGTGTTGCAAATAGTAGGACTTGTTTTCTTCTTATGGCTGAATAATATTCCATTGTGTATATGTACTATATCTTCTTTATCCATTCATCTACTGATGGACACTTAGGATGCTTCTATTTCTCGGCTGTTTTAAATAGTGCTGTGATAAACATAGGGGTGCATATGTCTTTTTCAAACTGGGTTCTTGCATTCTTAGGGTAAACTCCAAAGAGTGAAATTCCTGGGTCAAATAGTATTACTTTTTAGTTTTTTGAGGAACCTCCATACTGCTTTCCACAATGGTTGAACTAATTTACATTCCCAACAGCAGTGTAGGAGGGTTCCCCTTTCTGCACATCCTCTCCAGCATTTGTTGTTGTTTGTCTTTTGGATGGTGGCCATCCTAACTGGTGTGATGTGATATCTCATTGTGGTTTTAATTTGCATTTCTTTGATGATTAGCAATGCGGAGCCTCTTTTCATGTGCCTGTTGTCCATCTGAATTGCTTCTTTGGAGATCTTCTGCCCATTTTTTAATTGGATTATTTACTTTTTGTTTGTGGAGGTGCATGAGCTCTTTGTATATTTTGGATGTCAAGCCTTTATCGGATATGTCATTTATGAATATATTCTCCCATACTGTAGAATGCCATTTTGTTCTGATGGTGTTCTTTGCTGTACAGAAGCTTTTTAGTTTGATATAGTCCCACCTGTTCATTTTTGCTTTTGTTGCCCAGGGAGATACATTCATGAAGAAGTTGCTCGTGTTTATATTCAAGAGAGTTTTACCTATGTTTTCTTCTAAGAGTTTTAAGGTTTCATGACTTACATTTCAGGTCTTTGATCCATTTCGAGTTTACTTTTGTGTATGGATTTAGACAGTAATCCAGTTTCATTCTCCTATATGTAGCTGTCCAGTTTTGCCAACACCAGCTGTTGAAGAAGCTGTCATTTCCCCATTGTATATGCATGGCTCCTTTTTCATATATTAATTGACATATGCTTATGTTAATATCTGGACTCTCTATTCTGTTCCACTGGTCTGTGGCTCTGTTCTTGTGCCAGTACCAAATTGCCTTGATTACTGTGCCTTTGTAGTAGAGCTTGAAGTTGGGAAGCAAGATCCCATCCCCTCTGCTTTATTCTTCCTTCTCAGGATTACTTTGGCTATTCAGGGTCTTTGGTGGTTCCATATGAATTTTAGAACTATTTGTTCCAGTTCATTGACGAATGTTGTTGGTATTTTGATAGGGACTGCATTGACTCTGTATATTGCTTTTGGTAGGATGGCCATTTTGACAAAATTAATTCTTCCTACCCAAGAGCATGGGATGAGTTTCTACTTATTAGTATCCTCTTTAATTTCTCTTAAGAGTGTCTTGTAGTTTTCAGAGTATAGGCCTTTCACTTCCTTGGTTAGGTTTATTCCTAGGTATTTTATTCTTTCTGATGCAATTGTGAATGGAATTGTTTTCTTGATTTCTCTCTCTGCTAGTTCATCATTAGTATATAAGAATGCAACAGATTTCTGTGTATTAATTTTGTATCCTGCAACTTTGCTGAATTCAAATATTAGTTCTAGCAGTTTTGGAGTGGATTCCTTAGGTTTTTTTTATGTACAATATCATGTCATCTGCAAACAGTGACAGTTTGGCTTCTTCCTTACCAGTCTGAATGCCTTTTATTTCTTTGTGTTGTCTGATTGCTGTGGCTAGGACCTCCAGTACTATGTTGAATAAAAGTGGGAGAGTGGGCATCCTTGTCTTTTTCCCCATTTTAGGGGAAAAGCTTTCAGCTTCTTGCTGTTAAGTATGATGTTGGCTGTGGGTTTGTCATATATGGCCTTTATTATGTTGAGGTACTTGCCCTCTATACCCATTTTGTGGAGAGTTTTTATCATGAATAGTTGTTGAATTTTGTTGAATGCTTTTTCAGCATCTATGGAGATGATCATGTGGTTTTTGTCTTTCTTTTTGTTGATGTGGTAGATGATGTTGATGAATTTTTGAATGTTGTACCATCCTTCCATCCCTCAGATGAATCCCACTTGGTCATGGTGTATGCTTCTCTTGATGTATTTTTGAATTCAGTTTGATAATATTTTGTTGAGTATTTTTGCATCTATGTTCATCAGGGATATTGGTGTGTAATTTTCTTTTTTGGTGGGGTCTTTGCCTGGTTTTGGTATTAGGGTGATGCTGGCTTCATAGAATGAGTTTGGGAGTATTCACTCCTCTTCTATTTTTT